GAGGCTCTTCTACGCGGCCTCCATCATCACCATCCGCTTCACCGCGGACGCGCAGCTGCCGGAGCGGCCCAAGAGTCTGGCCATCGTCCTGTCCAGCGGGGTCCTGGGCTTTCTGCTGCTGAGAACCTTCTTGTGCTCAAGGCTCTGGATAGCGCCTCCGGCGACAGAAGTGGGTGTGGGTCGATGTTGGCAAATGGAGACATGGACTAAAACGTGCGGTTTTGTTTCTGGCGATTTTATTTGACCCATACCCAAGTGCGCCACGAGAAAACCAGGATGTTGGCATGACGCACCTGGCTTAGCCAGGGCGCAAAACCGGCCTTGGGTTCAGCTCCCTTGCACAAAGATGAAATACGGCTGCTCTGCCCGCAAGATAACCGAAAGATGAGAGGAGTTCAAGTATTTCAAGGGGGGATTTCCCCACCTTGAGACACCCAAAGAATCGATCGACCTTTGGGCATTTGACAAGTGCTTGACACAACCAAAACGTTCTGGGCCGAAGAAGGTGACGCAGAACATGACATGCACGGGTTCAAACAACGCATACCCTTGAAGTTCGTCCTGGGTCATGTTTCACACGTTCTCGGACTTTACCGTCAAACGCACCAAAACGGGCACCACCAACTGACCCCCAACCCATAACGAGTCCCAGGAACTCTCCCTGAGCTTCCTGGTGTGGCCGCTGCTCAACGCGCTAGCCTCCATGCTGCTCGACATGGCAGACCAAAGCCAAAGCCCGCGCGGGTGCTCAAAGAATCTAAAGTACCGTCCAACTTTTGCCCAGGAAACCAAGGGAGGATGTAATTTTTTAAGGACCCTCTATTTGACGCTCAGGTAAATTGGCCGTGTTGGGACGAAATAGCGCCAGATATGACCTTTTAACAGTTGGGATGTTTTTGGAGGGCGGGAGTGTCCCTGAACTTTTGTGTTTTCAAAACTCACTTGAGAGGAAGAAACGATGCCCCAGACATTCAGCGGTTGCTTCCGTAACCTTCTTTTCGGGTGTGAATCTTCCTATTTAGAAGTTTGGTTCTCTTTTGGTCGGCCATTTTCCCACAAGGCGGCCGGTGTGTCTTTTTGAACAAATTCCATTTTTCCTCTTCTTCCCCAACCACGAAAAAAGGAGTTCCAACTCCAAAAACGACGAGCCACTGAGTGAGGCTGGGCCTCTTTACGGTAATCTTCTCCTACGAGGTGCCGCAAGTCAAGGCGGCCCTGGCCACCGCCATCATCGACTCCAACGCGGTGCCCATGTGCTGTTTGACCCTCGGCTTGATTTCGTCACCCCTTTTGGCCCATTACAATCTTCCCTTGGCTGAAGAATATGTCTTAGATTTAAAGGGAATCGATTTCACCTCTGGAAATACGTTCTCATTTTTCCAGGCGGCTGAAGCAAATGTCCGGGTTTGTTCGTCCATTTGGCAAAGGCATGAACGAAGTGTCCACCACAAGGTGACTTCTCATGTCTCAAATCCGCTGGTTCTCAATGGACAGAACCGGGGATCTCTGAAAGGAAGCCACAAGGCTGAGGAAACCCCAAACTGAACATCCAACTTGTTTCGAAAGAAACCAAAAACTCACTTCAAGTGGGAGGTAAAAACCACAGAACAGAGCGAACGGGTGTTTGTTTGAAGGGTTTGCGGCCTCCAGGGTTTGCTTTTTCTCCTGGGGTCTTTAGAACTTGACTTCAAGTGGGAACCGGAAAGGTTTTCCCCAAGCCTCAAAGGTAAAAGCACCCCCCAAAGCCCGGGGTTCCCAAAACTCTGATTGAAGTGGAACGCCCCCCCAAAGGTTTTCGGCTCCCCGGCCTTTTGGAGGAACTACTTGCTGCTGGGCGAGCTGCCGGACTTCTCCAAGATGCGCCTCGAGTCAACAGTATTTGCCCCGGGCGGTTCGCTCCTGCTCCCTGTAAAGAATTCCCTTTAAAGGGGACAAGGGGGGCGGGATGTGAAGAATTTCTGCCACTGGCAGCCTTTCTCCCTTGGATTGCCTTAGAATGGAATCAACTCCAGGGGTGCGAAAAAACTTGCGGGTGTCTTTTGTCACATGGCAAGCGAACTTCGCAACACGAGATGAGGCCTGTTTTTTGCAGTGGCTGCGTTGCTTGACTTTGGAAGCCATTTTGCGGCGCTCACCTTCTAAACCAACGCATTGTATACATGTGTCATGTTTGGCTGCGCTTTCAGGAGGCACTTGCCCTGTGGATTTGACCCGCTGATTCCCTCGTGCATTATTTTGCCGGGTGGGCCATCCAATGCATGTAGAAATGAGTTGTGTGTTCACGGTTTCCAACTTTCAGTCACTTTACACTTTACCCACACTGATATGAACATTTACAGACCAAACCAGAAGCATAGGACGTCCTGTTGCTGTCCTTTCCGGTGACCAGCTTGTCTACCCTTGCAAAACAGGTTTCGGAGAAACCCTTTTCCTTTCCGAACTTGAGGCATAGAGGTCCTGAATCGGGAAGAGGACATCCCCATAGCCATCCGGCACACCCCTCAACATCCTCAGTAGCACAGACCTAGAGCCTCTCGGAGAGGAGGCCAAGGGACAGAATCTGCAAATTACTATTCACAATGTGAGCCTCAACAATATCTTTGTTGAGGTCACCCGAAATAACAACTTCGCACATTGGCTTACAAACTTCGGTCAACAACGCTTTCCACTTTACACAGAGACTACACAGAGCGCACTCAGGTTCGTTTGTGGTCCATAGTGGCCTGAAGCAATGCATTTTAGACTCCATTTTCGAAAGCCGGGAGGCCCATCCTTTAAGGAAGGCCTCCCTGCGTCGAATTGCATGCTTGAGTTTCATCCTGGGGTTAGTGCCAAGTACCTTTTTGAGCAGCGGGGAAGACAAAGCAAGAAGAAAGTCCAAAGGTACGGCTTCAATGAGAAAGAGCTTGAGCAAATTAGTTGCTTTGGTAACGATCAGGCGGAGACAACACCATCCCAGTTTCCAAACGAAAGCGGCTGAGGCAGGTCAGCACCCGGAAGATGAACACCCCGAGATTTGACCAACACCCGTTTATGCTGCCGCAGGTGCTGAAAGTGGGCGTGAAACCTCCAATTGATGATCCCAATCAAATCCAGGGCGATTTTGAGCCCGTGGTGTATTGGCAGCTGCCAGGTAGGATGCATGAGCGCTAAAGCTGGGCATGCTGGGCATTGCCCTCAATCTGGGGAAATCAGAACTTTCCTCTAACTTCGGCCGGGCAAATTTGCACTTGGCCTGGGCGTAATCAATCAAGGGCAAGAGGCCTACAACCCATCGCCTCGGCAATCCAAAGGTTGTACTGCGCCAATCTCCAGATCGAAGGCATCGATTCATCTAAATGTTCGATCAACTCGGCAGCCTCAACTCTCAAGCAAACAAGGGACAAACCTGGAAAAGGCCATTGTCAACAAGGAGCTGCTGCAACTAGTTGATGACCACACCTTGGAGTTGTGGCCGGACTTTGTGTCTAACGTGGGTTGCCGCCCTGAAGGAGCCAACAGTCAAAGCGTCTTCCAACTTCATGCCTGCTGTTTGGGAAGGACGTGCTTCGCCCCTGAAAATTGCAAGTTTGCATCCATCTTCCTTACCAGTTCATATCCATCCGACATATCTCCCAGGAATGGCATGGCCTTGGTGCTGCTGGGCTGTGCCAGCGCATCTGCCGGGCCCAACAACGATGCGGAGGGCTTCGTGCCTTTGTGCGACGCCTGACCGCCTGAGCCTGGAAACCCCAGAGAGGACTTGCTGGGAGCACTTTTGAATTTATGAAAAACTGTTTTAGGTTTTGGAGGTATGGATGCTTCTTATATGCAACCACTGTAAGCTTGTAAGGCACTATCAAAGACCCCCTTTGTGTGTGGTGTATAGCCTCCATACTGTAGATGGACGAAATTCTGCACCTCCGTTCAGAAACCATGCAGGATTCTGTCCGTCCACAGTATCATTCTTGGTTTGGGACACAAGCAGAGGTAGAGTGGCTGTGGATAGGCCAATGGGTGCCTGCAGTCGCGAGGCTGGAAAAAATGCGCGACCGCAAACCCCGCTTCGCCCGATGACTCAAAAGGCGCCAGAAAGGCCGTAAAGTCCCTGTTGGAGGAAACGAGGTGTGGAGGATAGGGGTTGCTGGCGTTTCTGACCGTGTCAAAAAATCAACAATTTCTTCCGCCGCGAAGAAGTGTCTTAACCAGTAACTATGGGATCCTGAGGCTGTTCGGTTCTTAGGATCTCGCTTTCCGAACTATGTCACACGCGGCTTCCTGGATTGGCACATCACATTATGACAGAACTTTACTTGGCACGATACCATAGACAAAGGCATCATTTACACAAATCATGGGCATTGCTTTTCGCTCGCCTTGGACCCATTGCTTCATCCACACGCTTCAGCCCTTTGCCCAGAAACGAATCGACCACGCCTCTTTTCCGCGTGTTGTTCAGTGGGTTCCCTCTGAATCCCTTTTTGGTGCGGACAACTAAACATGGGTTCAATCCCAAAAACGGCTATCGAAAGAGAACGGTCCACGTTGAGTCCAAGCGGTGGTTGAAGAATGAACCATTGTGACTCAATGGCCACTTCAAGAAGGAAATGTACTGACCCCGAACCAGGTAGGGTTGCGTCTTAAACTATGGCACAAAAAAGAACAGGGCTCATGTCCACCTGGTTCGGGGGGGGCATTCATTCGGCCGTTTCGGTGCGTTTTCTAGGAAACTGAAGGAAATCACCAGACAATCCAAGCATGCCGAATGTTTTTTTTCAGGGTGTTCTAGATCCATCGCAGTTTCAACACTTGGGTAAACTTTGCTTGGATGTTGGTCAAATCTGCCACCAAAGTCAAGACAAGCTTCCATTTGCTTAAGGATATGTGTTATTTTCCTTTTTGGTGTTAAAGTCACTACTGGAAAAGTATTGTATTTTCTCCAGGGGGAGAAAAAGCAAGAAAGCAAATGAAAGCAAATATTGGACCCATCCCTCACCAACTGGGCGGGCCTAGCGGGCAAGGCCCTGTTCTCCGCGCGGCGGCTCGGTGCCAGCCGTGAGGAGCGACCCGGTTTTTTCACGGGGTCGGATTTGCCCGGGCTGTTTTTGTGGGGCTCGGTTTTAACCGAAAATCCAACAGGACAACCACCACTTTTGGGGGGGCGGGGGGGAATTGCTGAAAAAGGACAATGGGTAGCACCGAAAAGGAAACTCACTTCTTTGGAACCCATGCAACGAGTTCACCCAGATGGTGGTTTCTTTTGGTGTGGTTTGATTTCTGTTTAGTGAGGATTTTTGTTTGTATCGTTTTGTTCCGTGATCCCTAAACTGGGTCAAAACAGCCCAGTTGTTAAATGGCACTCATCAGGCCTACGGACTTTCGAAGCGCAGCAACCCAGGTTTCAGACAAAACCAGCACCTTTCCTGATATGAGTATGGGTCAACATTAAGCCACAAGAAAAAATGCCGGTTTGAGTCCTTATTTAGCCTTATTCCCATATACCAGGTGCATGAGATGGCTGCGTTTCACGCATCTCCATCTGCGAGGCCGAGCGAGTAACGACAGCGAATTCGTGCCACTGAGTGAAGGAGGGACTGGGTTCCCTCATCCCTGGTCTTGCTGGTGGGATAGGCAGGGAATGCTGGAATGACCCCTACAAGGCTCGCGACCCACTAGAATGGAATGAACCCCGAACGGGAAGCCTGCTTTCCTCTCGATTGAAAGGGGATGGTCATGATTGCCATTTGTTTGTCTAACTTGTTTTGCCGCAGAAAGACGAGGCACCGGAGAAATGGGCTCGAAGGCAATCCGCAAGTTCTTTCCATCCCTCCATATGGCCCAGTCACATGGCTGTTGCTGGAACCTTTTGGACCTTTCCGGATTGAATGAAAGACCCTGGTTTCTGAGGCCTTTGCCCTTCAGCTCCTTCCCAAGCATAGGACACGCGCGCAGCGTCCCCACCGCCCAGGGCTCAGAACCAGCGCAAGGAGGGTGAAGATCCAAGAGGCATGAACCGAGCCCCTTGAAACACTGGCACTAAAGGACAGTCAGCCAAAGAAGGATGTTTTGGCGCACATCTGTATGTCAAACCAAAAGTGTGTATTTTGGTCGGGATGGCAAAGGTGTCACGCTGTGTGCCTGGGGCTCATATCTAAAGCACCACCTGGCTTCGCCGAAAAGCGCATTTAGGAAAGCACGAGGTACTTTCATATCTACCTGCAGGGACTTGCGCGCTTGGTTCCAAAGAGGTGCAACACCCATGCGGGCATCCCATGAGGTTTCTCTACTGGTTTTGCCTTCAGGGATTCGTCGGAATGGATGTCTTATCGGCAGCTGGTTCGCAGGCAACGGAAATTGACTAGCATAGGTGCCGATCCTTCAAAGAGCCGCGGTTTCTTAGGAAGAGTGATGCAGAGGACTGCTGCTAGGGCTGAAAAGATGCAATTGCGCAATATCAAACAGGATCTTTTCCAACCAGCCAAGCAACCAAGCAACCAAGCAACTAGACGCCACAAGCAAAACCAACCAGCCCTCCCTGAGGCCGAGGACTTGCGAGGACTGCGAAGATGTCCTCAGGGGCCCCGCCTCTTCCGGAAACCCCACGAAAAAGGTGTCAGTTAGCCCAAAATGGATCAACCCCTGAAAATGGCTCAGCGTGTCAAAACCGTCCCCTCCAAGTTGGCATCTTTGACACGACCATATCCCTTAACTTTAAAACGGACACCGAGCAGACAATGCTTCCCGGTGCGCAGGAGGCGCCTATGCAACGCCAAGGCGATTTCGCAGACGGAAGTTTAGGGTTGCCAGGTACCAAAAGAAGCAAAACCCAATCTGCTTCCTTGTTCGGTTTTGGAGTTCTTCTATTGGCACATCCAAAACCCCCTACTTTTTATAGCTGTGTGAATTGCCCCTCGAGATAGTTTGGTTTGCCATCCCAAAACAAAGGCTGAAAACTGGGTTTACCTGGCAACGGCACGCGTCGTGTACGCACCCTGTCCTCAGATGTTGGAGGGCCCCTGCGGTACCGTAGGAAATCAGGGGTGCCACAACGGCTCGATTTTGTTGAAAGAACGTTGTGTTTGTGGGGGGTTCAACGTCTTGTCTTTCTCGATCAAAGCCGAGCTGGACATCATATCCCGATCCCCTTCGTAAAATCAGGATTCGCAACAGTTTGGTTGCGACCTCTCCCGAAAAAGAACCATTTTGTTCATTCGCCATAGCCCTTGGCTGTTTTCCAAAACTGCCGGCGCCTTCGGGCCAGGCTCTTTGCTCAGTCACTTGGCCGCACAATCCGAGACCATCCGAATCGACTTGTTGGACCGCCTGAAAAGGCGGGCCAACACGGGAGACCAGGCCCAGATTGGCAGCCTCTTGGATATTCAAGAAACTGCCTGCAGTCGGCCGCTTACCTCCTGATCAGGTTGCAAAGCTTGATGCTCAATGACGTGTTTTTTTGCTCAAAAGTTGGGGCCGGCGGTTGTTCAAAGGAAACAAGTACAAACCACAAAAGTGGGGGGGGGCATGTTTGAAACCGTGTTGCTCAGCTCAGGCCACGCCTCGTCTGAAGCCCCGCAGCCCGCCCGGCATTCGGCGCCGGCGCGTGCAAAGCGCCCTGGCGGCGTTTACTCGGCTGTCGTGGCCCCATTCCAAGGAGGTACTTGGCCTCATTTGGACTTAGAGACATCTGGCTGGTGGGCTGAGGACACGAGCAGGGATTTCAAGCAGCACGGCAAAATGTGGTTTTAGGGCTATGGCTCCTGATCAGTTCGAAACATGTGGATTTCACATTTTGCTCTTGTATTCCAGCAAGTGGGCCTACCTTTCCTTTCTTGCCTTGTGTGGCTAAATGTTGCGGTTGAAGTGACAACATGCAGAGTTTGTGCATTTTGAAGGGTGCAGGCTTGGTGTTCAAAAGTGTCATGTTGCATCGATCCTTGGCAGGCTGTGCGAAACCAGATGCGAACCGCTGCCAGCAACTTGTTGGGCCATTTGCCCTGTTGTCTTTTGGCAAGGGCTGCAACAGTCGCCCTACCTGGTTTTATATGAGGTTTCCTGGGGATAGGGATTCGCTTCGGGCAATCGGGCAGCCACCTTCGGCAGTGTTTCACAGTCCGGGTCTCTTTCATGATTCTTCCGGATGCCAAGCTTTCATCACGCGCCAGAATTCTCCATCCGAATTTCTCCAAGGGGATGCTTGTAGATGATGCTGGTTGATATGTTTTTTGCCTCACTCCTTATGTGAATCACCCTATGGCAAGTGGCGCCGTTGGCTCAACTGAGGCCCAAGCCTAGCAGTGGCTCGGAAGAGATGGGTGGCTCGTCCTTTTTTGGAGTTGGTCCCCTTTTTGGATTGAATACCAAAAAACTAGCTTTTGGAGCCGAACACACACGTACTTTGGGGGAAGCAATCCCATTTTGTGGGACACCTGCTGGGTTTCACTAATTCTGCGGCGCGCGATGACTCGGAAATTCCCCCCAACCATGGTAATGCGTGTTCTTGATACGTCCACCATGTTGGGTATATGCTCGAACTCACCCTGTGCAAAGGCGCTTCATCGTTGTGCCCGTTTTTGTTCCAATGTTTTACCACGTCATTTTCGAAGAGAATCTGCAATATAGTTGGCCCCCTGTTGCAATAATGTTTAAGTGTGTGTTGCTTTGCGGCGTTGCCTGCGGAAAATTGTCAGCCCATCCGTGTAACGTGATAAGTGAACAATCGGGATCATGTGGAAACTCACGGGGAAGGAGCAGAAGGAGTTGGGAGTTGCAGGTTCCCCGCGATAGATTTTTGCGCAGGAGTTCTGTTCCGCAGGAAGCAAAATGTCCAGCGGACCTCGTCTTCGAATTCCGGCCAATTCGAGGGCTTCCCGGATGAATTGCTCAACCTGCTAGATACGTACGGAACGGACAAAATCCAGCACCAGTTGGACTGGATGAAACGCTTTGGTCACTGGGATAAACAGCTTACCAACTGGGATTTGTCCATCCACAGCAGTGTTCCCGAAATATGGAGGATTCCCTCTCGCTTGAGATACCCCTATTGCTCGTCATCAATCGGTTCCGATTCGGCCTCCCAAGGTTGCAGAGGGACGTCGCCAGTCAGGAGCCCGCGCACGACGCATGGCGCTAACATACCAAACTTGTGCAACTGGTCGGGGGGGGACCCTCGCTTCAGGACTGCACCTGGCGCCAAGCCGTGCGCTGACCCAGTTTCCTTGGCTGCGTGGAGAGACAGAGCGGCGCAGCAAGAAGGGAGGGGGAAGAGACAACGCTGCCAAGCGCTTGTGGCATTCGAGCACCAATGGCACGCCTCCATCAAACTCGTGTTGTTTGCCCCGGTCCAAATCATGGGAGCCTGGTTTCTCCAAGCCCCTGCCCTATCGCCAAGCCAGGTAGCTAGTTGCCGGAATTCACTAGGTTTGACTTTTGGTTTTCAGACAGATTTCTACCCTCTCCAGGTTGGAGTGAAGCCAACCTCGGTGATTGTGAGGGCGGGGCCATTCTTGGAGCCACATCTTCCAAGCCAGTTTCTCCACGCCAGGCCTTTCGAGGCAGCCAGAAGCCCAGCGGGAGGATATCAAGCTTGGTTCCTCACGGGGTAACTCAAAATCACCAATTCTCCAATTGACCGTTAGTTGTTTTGGGGGAAGTGCCCCTTTCAAGTTCGTGCTCCATTGTTCGAAATCAGCTCGGGCACCATGATCATGGTCCCTTACCAAAAAATTTATCTCGATAGAATTGTGAGTAGCGATGGGCGCACATGCCATGCACCAATCATCCTTCAGTTGAGGTCATTGACAAACGGGACTCATTGTCACAGGAGGCAACCTTATGCTTTTCAAAGACAGCGGGTGCTGGGCGAAGGATAGACAGCTGCTGAGGCTGCCGTCAAGGCTGGAAGTGCCCAGCTGCCATTGGGCCTGGCTCTGAGGCTTTCGAAAATGTCAGGCCATGATTTTGAGTGGCTGATGTAGGGCAGACGTCGGAGCCCTTTGGTACTTTGAATCTGCGCAAACAGCGGGGTCTGGAAGCAGCTGCCCATGCGAAACCGAACCGAGGCTTTGCGCGCAAGGCCGTGCCATTGGCCGTGCACTGAGCGACCGCTCATTTGATGGGTCCGCTTTCTTGGATTGGTGTTGCTGCCGTTTTGGAGTTCGATCGCCGTTGAGGGTTTCCTGTTTTTGCATCAACCTGGCATTAATGACTTGTTCGCTTAGGTACGGCCGCCAGGCAGGGTTTGGGCACGAAAGGAACACAGCGCCATCGCAAGCAAAGAGATACCCCTTTTTGAAAACCACGGGAAACACCCCGTTCCGGGTGTCCCCGAAAAAAAGGGCTCAACCAGGTTAAGAGATGCTCAAACTTGACTGGATGGTCCCTTTCACGTTGCAGGAGTCGTGAGCCCCAGATATGCCCCGGCCCTGGCCTGAGCAGACAGAGCCCCCGCATCTGACTACAATGCTCGCCAATGTCGGAGCTGTTTGGAAATTCCATGTTTGGGAACATCACTTTAGCCAGCAACACAACGTTCGTCGGGCCTGTCCGATTCAACTTTTCTTGAGCTGCAACCCATATGCCTAAGGCGCCCAGGCCTGTGTCAGGTCGCCCCGCAGGCGCGGCTTCGAGTGAGCGGCTTGCTTCCAACATCGACCGTCGGCAATGCCTGCTTATTGCCCGCAATGCCCTGCAGGTATCTCGCAGAGAAGAGTTGCCACTTTTGATTAGCCAACCTTCCGTTTGCCGGAACCATGCTCCCTCGCTCCCTCGTACTCCCTCAGTTGAGACGGATGGAAAGGGCTCTAAATCGCCCACTGGCAGAGCCCGTGATATTTGAGAAGTCATTTTCAGAGGCCACCCATGGTTCCCCATCCGCCTTGCGAGGCTCCAAGTCCTGGCAGCCGATGAAAGCCGCAAAGCCGTAGGCTCCTGCCAGCGATCGGTTCTTATCTTCGAGGCAAGCACATGCTGCTTTTCTCCTGAGCTAACGCGTCTTACATGAATTCACCTGCAAGCTTGGATTGGAGTGGGCTATCGAGATAAAAGTTGCGTAGAGATCAAAAAAGGAAGCCAGGAAAAGAGATATAGAGAGAGAGAGAGAGAGGCACGCAAAGTGACAGAACAAAAGGCAAAAAAAATATAGAGGAGCAGAAAAGAAAGAGAAACACATATTTTCTGGGCCTGCGGCCTCTAGCCGGCTACGCCTCTTTGAAGTTATACCATGTCATGTCATGTTTTTGTGTATGAGAAACATATCCTGTGCTATGATATGGCTGGTTAGGCTATGCATGTTGCCCACCCTAACCCCAGATGATGCCGGGGATGCCAGCTTTCTGGGCCCCTAACCCAGAAGGCTGATAGGGGGTCGCGCGCGCGCGCGCCAGAGGCCCCAGAAAGAGCAACCCAGAAAAAGCACTCGCTCTACAAAACGCTGTAAATACCGTTAAAAACAGTTGTGCTTGCTTTTGCTGTGGCTGGCTCGCGTGTTGCGCGGTTCGTTGGTTTTCGGGCTTTCTTGCGCGCGCGCGACGCCAGCCACAAAATGCTGCTATTTACGGTGTTTTGTTGCATTTGCGTTTCCGGGCTGGCTTGCTTGGCGCCAAAATGCGCGAAAATGAGCCTGGCTTATATCCCCCCGATACCTTCTATATCCCTGCTTCATGGCTTGAGAAGCTTTTTGGAAGGAAGTCTTGATGTAGACCAAGCCCCGCTGAAGCATCACCCAGGCCTAACCCCAGATCCTGATGATGTTAGCTACATGGCCTAAACCCCGCATATATGCGATGTTTTGTAAGGACGCAGAGGTGCCGGATTTAGGCAACGCAAAGTGACCAGGGTCGGCGGCATTAGGGTGCAGCCCTTATAGCTGAAGCTAGCAGGGTAATTGCCTATCGGCGAAATTTTTACCCCAGGAGGCGTAGCCGGATTTACACGTTGACGCGACATAGCCGGCTTCCGGGCACCTTGCCCTTCCCGTTCTTGTATATCCTTTTCGTTTTGTAACTTGCAACATGATGTATTTACTACATATTATAACCCCAATTGCATGAGTGTCTCATTAGCATGGCTCCGACTCACCCGCTACGCATGGCTCAAGAAAAGCGCGCTTAGTGCAGGGTGGAATGTTGACCCTTCTAGGTTGCTTAACCTGTTTTATAGGTTATCAGCAGCTTGCTCTTTGTACAGAGTTGTACGCGATGTCCAGAATTCTAACTAAGAACGGAAAATGAGAAACTAAGAGCGGAAAAGAAGGATAGTAAGAGCGGAAAAAATGGATAGCGGAAAATGTAATAGTTCTGGTAGTAGCAGTAGTAATAGTAGTAGTAGTAGTAGTAGTAGTAATAGTAGTAGTAGTAGTAGTAGTAGTAGTAATAGAAGTAATAGTAAATAGTAATAGTAACAGTAATACTAATAATATTAGAATAGCGGGATTCCCGTTCTCTGCTCCTCTCTACTACGATTAATACTAACTAGTGTTACTAGTATTACACCTAGTACTAGTACTATACTACTCTTCTTCCTAGTAGTACTAATATTACTAGTAATATTACTACCAGTAGAGCCGGCGAACCCGGTGGGCGGAAGATTGAAAAATGTAGAAACTACAGCTGTTTTTTCTCTTTCTTTTCTTGACTCTTTTTCTCTTCTTCTTCCTTTTCATTGTTTCTTGTTTCTCCGTTATTCTTCCTTTCTTCTTTTTGCTTGTCTATCTATCTTTCTCTACCTATCTATCTACCTAACTACCTATCTATCTCTCTATCTCTCTATGTATCCCTCTATCTACCCATCTATCTATATATCTCTCTATCTCTATCTGTCTATCCTATTTACCTCTCTATCTATCTATCCATATATCTATCTATCTATTTCTCTATCCATCTACCTATCTATTTATTTTGTTTATCGATCTATCTATTTATCTATCTATTTCTCTTTCTATCTCTCTATCTCTTTCTTTGTTTCTTTCTATCTATCTATCTATTCATCTGTCTATCTATCTTCTATTTGTTTATCGATCTATCTATTTCTCTTTCTATTTCTCTTTCTATCTCTCTATCTCTTTTTTTGTCTCTTTCTATCTATCTATCTATCTCTCTATCTATCTCCCGCGTGTCTATCTATCTATCTATCTATCCATCCATCTCTCTCTCTCTCTACCTCTCTATGTATCCCTCTATCTACCCATCTATCTATCTCTCTCTCTATGTCTGTCTCTCTGTCTCTCTATCTATCTATCTGTCGCTCTCTCTATCTATCCATCTCTCTATCTATTTATCTATTTATCTATTTATCTATTTATCTATCTCTCTATCTCTCTGTCTCTCTATGTATCCCTCGATCTACCCATCTACCTATCTCTTTCTCCATCTATCTCTATCTGTCTATCTATCACCCATCTATATATCTATTTATCCATTTCGCTATCCATCTACCTATCTATGTATCTCTTTATTTATCTATCTCTCTGTCGATCAATCTTCTGTTTGCTTATTTATCTATCTATTTATCTCTTTATTTCTTTTTCTTGCTATCTATCTCTTTATCTCTCTTTCTTTCTATCTCTCTATCTCTTTCTCTATTTCTTTCTATAGCTCCATCTATGTCCCGCGTGTCTATCTATCTATGCATCTGTTTCTCTCTCTATCTATCTATCTCTATACCTCTCTATCCCTCTGTCTACCTATCTATCAATCTCTCTCTCTCTATCTGTCTATCTCTTTATCTATCTACCTGTCTATATCTCTCTCTATTCTGTTTCTATATATTTATCTATCTCTCTATCTATCTATCTGTCTATCTATCTATCTGTTTGTGTATCATTTAGCTATCTATGTATCTATCTTTCTATTCATCTCTCTCTTTATCTATGTATCTATCTATCTATCTTGTTTCCTTTCTATTTATTTTTCTTTCTATCTATCTCTTTCTCTCTCTATCTCTTTATCTATCTGTCTTTCTGTTTATGTATCTATCTATCTTCCTCTCTCTCTGTAATTAACTATCTATCTATCTCTCTCTTTCTCTATATCTATCTTTCTATCTATCTATCTCTTTTTCTATTTCTTTCTAGATATCTCTCTATCTGTTTATCGATCTATCTATCTATCTATATCTGCACTTAAAAGTTGCGATTTTCGATCCCCGAAAGTTGATTTCACGTACTACTTTCGTACATAAAAGTTTCGATTTTCGAGCAGCTGCGAAACTGGACTTTACGTGCTAGTTTCGTACAAAAGAGCCCCAGCTGCGAAAGTGAATGGATTTCGCGTACTACTTTCGTACTTAAAAGTTGCGATTTTTAAGCCTTAGTTACGAAAGTTGAATTCGCGTACTGCTTTCGTACTTAAAAGTTGCGATTTTCGAGCTCCGGCTGCGAAAGTTGACCTTGCAAAAGTGCTGCGCCTGCCACGAAATCTGCACTTCACCTTGCGAAAGTGCTGCGCCTGCCAAGAAATCTGTACTTGACTTTGCGAAAGTGATGCGCCTGCTACGAATTTTGCACTTGATCTTGCGAAAGTGCTGCTCCTGTCACAAATTCTGTGCTTGACCTTGCGAAAGTGATGCGCCTGCCACGAATCTTGCACTTGACCTTGCGAAAGTGCTGCGCCTGCCACGAAATCTGTACTGGACCTTACGAAGGTGCTACGAAATCTTGATTTGACCTTGCGAAAATGCTGCGCCTGCCACGAAATCTATACTTGACCTTGCAACAATACTGCGCCTGCCATGCAACTCAATTCTTGGGAAAATTTGACCTTGCGAAAATGCTGCGCCTGCCACAAAATCTGCACCCGATCTTGCCAAAATGCTGCCCCTGCCACGCAATTCAAACCCTGCGAAACCTCTGCGTTGCCGTGCCAGTGGGTGGTGATTCATTGACAATCCAAGACCATGATTGTGCTTCATCTAGACAGACTTGCCACGTTTTGCAAAATTTCTTGACACAATTAACAGCTTTGAGGACTTCACTGGGCTCAGTGCTATAGAACTCTAAGTTGTCTACGAAAGCCAAAGGACGTGCGCGACTAAAGGATTCAATGCATCGGATCCACAATGCACCAATCAGCACTGCGAACACCACTGAAAAAGGGTCTCCTTCCGGGACGCTTTGCTTCGAGAACCTGCACTTAAAAGTTGCGATTTTCGATCCCCGAAAGTTGATTTCACGTACTACTTTCGTACATAAAAGTTTCGATTTTCGAGCAGCTGCGAAACTGGACTTTACGTGCTAGTTTCGTACAAAAGAGCCCCAGCTGCGAAAGTGAATGGATTTCGCGTACTACTTTCGTACTTAAAAGTTGCGATTTTTAAGCCTTAGTTACGAAAGTTGAATTCGCGTACTGCTTTCGTACTTAAAAGTTGCGATTTTCGAGCTCCGGCTGCGAAAGTTGACCTTGCAAAAGTGCTGCGCCTGCCACGAAATCTGCACTTCACCTTGCGAAAGTGCTGCGCCTGCCAAGAAATCTGTACTTGACTTTGCGAAAGTGATGCGCCTGCTACGAATTTTGCACTTGATCTTGCGAAAGTGCTGCTCCTGTCACAAATTCTGTGCTTGACCTTGCGAAAGTGATGCGCCTGCCACGAATCTTGCACTTGACCTTGCGAAAGTGCTGCGCCTGCCACGAAATCTGTACTGGACCTTACGAAGGTGCTACGAAATCTTGATTTGACCTTGCGAAAATGCTGCGCCTGCCACGAAATCTATACTTGACCTTGCAACAATACTGCGCCTGCCATGCAACTCAATTCTTGGGAAAATTTGACCTTGCGAAAATGCTGCGCCTGCCACAAAATCTGCACCCGATCTTGCCAAAATGCTGCCCCTGCCACGCAATTCAAACCCTGCGAAACCTCTGCGTTGCCGTGCCAGTGGGTGGTGATTCATTGACAATCCAAGACCATGATTGTGCTTCATCTAGACAGACTTGCCACGTTTTGCAAAATTTCTTGACACAATTAACAGCTTTGAGGACTTCACTGGGCTCATTGCTATAGAACTCTAAGTTGTCTACGAAAGCCAAAGGACGTGCGCGACTAAAGGATTCAATGCATCGGATC